TGCCTACAAGGCCTACCCTTTTGTGGTCTGTAACGCCATGAACATTTCGTCACGCCGTGATACCTCTCTTTACACTTCATGTTTAGCGACTGCATGGAAATCTCTAGAACCGTTAGCAAACAAGAATCCTAGAACCTGAGAGGCCGAAAGAGCCCCAAAGATCAGGTAGAGCAGCAGTTCTCAAAGGGGGTGCTGAGACCTGCCCCATCTGGGCGCTTGGTAGAAACACCCATTCTTGGGCCCTACCAAGACCCCCCGGGGGTGGTGCCAGGCACATGTGTCTTCATGAGCTCTCGGTGACACCTGGTGTGAGAAGCACCTCTCTAGGTCAAGCCTCCCTCCTTGACAGGTGAAACTGAGGCGAGAGAGGGCAGTGACTGGCCCAGGGCCAGGCGGCCCACTGAGGATAGGTCTCCAGGCCCTCTGTCCAGGCCCGGATCTAGCATCGGTGACATCCCTTGGCAGAAGCTAACTAAAGCCTGCGCCTGGGTTGACGCTTCTGCTCGGGGAGGTCACGCCAACGTTCTGGCCTCATATCCAGCTGTGTGTTGGTTCTGAGACCCCTTTGGCAAGTTACTGAAGCATTTCCTGCCTCAGTTTCCTCTTATGTCCAACACAGTTAGCATGGTACCTCCCACGTAGGGTTGCTGCAAGGACTAAATGATTCAATCCGCCTAGAACACAGTGCCTGGCATAGACGTGATCAGTAAATGTCCGTATTCTATCTGGGGCTTTAACAATACACGAGTTCATCTTCCCTGCTCTGCCTCGAGCCTGTGCCTTCTCCTGTGCCTTGTGTGCCACCCACTCAGGTGGCCAGGGCGGGAGACTAGGCTGTCATTTCCGAGTGCCTCCCCGTGTTTAGGCATGTAGAGCCCTATCGGTTCTGAGTCCCCTGTGTCTCTCAGTTCACCTGTCTCTCTCTGTCCCCGTGGACAACCCTGGTCCTCCCCCTGTTCTTCCTGCCTCCCTGACGCCACACCACAGTCAGGGACAAACTTTGAAGCCAGAGTCTGATCATACTCCATTTGCACAAAATGCCCAGAACATCATGCAAATGCACAGAGACAGCAAGTAGATTCATGGCTGGGGGTAAGCAGAGAATGAGGAGTGACCACTAATGGGTACAGGGATTTCTTTTTGGAGTGATGGAATATTCTGGAATTAGATGCAGCTGATGGTTATACAGCATTGTGAATCCACTAAAAACTCCTGAATACACTTTAAAGTGATGAGCTTCATGTTATATGAATTTTATCTCAATAAAAAAATACCAAAAAACCATCTGATCCTGTCATTCCCTGTAATAACCATCAAAGGTGCCCCGTGCTCAGGATCAAATCAGGACCTGCAGTGTGGCCTTGTTGGCCTTCATCACTTGGCCCCTGTTATTTCTCCAGCCTCATTGCTCACAGTTTCCTGGCTTGAAAATTATGGTCCAGTCTTTCTTATTTATTTATTTTGATTGATTGATTGATTTCAAGTGTGGTCCCAATTACTAAACAGCTTTTACATCTCCTGGTCTCCATCTCTGGGTCTGGCTTCCTCTAGAGGAGAGAATTCAGGTGTAAGTAGTTTATCTGGGATGTGATTCCCAAGAAACACTGGAGGGAAATCAGGGAAAAGAGACATGGAAGGAAACCAATCAAAGGGGCATTTAGGCCGGGTGCGGTGGCTCAAGCCTGTGATCCCAGCACTCTGGTAGGCTGAGGAGAGAGGATCGCTTGAGGTCAGGAGTTTCAGACCAGCCTGAGCAAGAGTGAGACCCCGTCTCTACTAAAAATAGAAAGAAATTAGCCAGGCAACTAAAATAGAAAAAATTAGGCAGGCGTGGTGGCACACACCTGTAGTCCCAGCTACTTGGGAGGCTGAGGCAGGAGGATCGCTTGAGCTCAGGAGTTTGAGGTTGCTGTGAGCTGGGCTGACGCCACGGCTCTCTAGCTTAGGGGACAGAGCGAGACTCTGCCTGAAAAAAAAAATAGACTTGGCCAGGTCACTTCCTCTAGGAAGCCGTCCACACCTGCTGCTCCCAGCCCACCCTGTGGTGAGTTCTGTTTCACGCAGCACGCTTGCGGGGTCTGTGGCACTGCCTTCATCACAGTGTATTTTGGGTGTCTGTTTATCGTCTGTTTCCTCAGCGGTCGGTGGGCAATTTGAGGACAGGGAACGAAGTCTGTTCATTCTGGTGATCCTCAGAGCTAACAAACCATCAGCTATATTACACACTTTCCGGAAACAACTGCAGAGCAAACAAACAGGTGCAGTGCGTGGCACTGGGCTAGAGGGCCTCAATCCCTTCCCACGACCATTTCTTCCAGCGTTTCGGTTTGGACGTAGGAGCCGGAAACTGTACATTCTCTCTTTTTACAGGCAAGATTCCGACATGGCTGCAGGGAACGCTGCTTCGCAACGGGCCCGGGATGCACACGGTCGGGGAAACCAGGTACAACCACTGGTTCGACGGCCTGGCCCTGCTCCACGGCTTCACCATCAGAGACGGTGAGCGCATTGCACGAGCTCGCGGATCACACACCTAGCGGCTGAAAACAGTGCGAATTTACTCTCTTACGGTTCTGGAGGTCAGGAGACTAAATTGGGTCTCGCTCAGCTCAAATGAAGGTGCGGCAGGGCTGTATTCCTCTCTGGAGGCTCTAGGGCAGAATCCGTTTCCTTGCCTCTTCTATTTTCTGGAAGCTGCCTACATTCCTAGGCTTGTGGCTCTATCTCCATCTTCAAAGCAGCAACGGAGCCTCTCGCGATCTCTCTCTCTCCATCCTTATAGCTCCTTCTCTGGCTCTGACCCTCCTGCCGCCCTCTTACAAGGACCCTGGTGGTTATATTGGGTCCACTCAGATAGTCCAGGATAATCTCCTCTTCTCAAAATCCTGAATCACATCTACAAAGGCCCTTTTGCTATGTCAGGTAACATAGCAGGTTCTCAGGATTAGAATATGAGTGTCTTTGGGGGAGGTGCCTTATTCATCCTACCGCAAGCACACACTTCCCTGGAGAGGTGGCCAAGGTTCTTTTTCAAAGAGTTCATCTTGCAAAATAACATGCATTCCCAATAAGGTAGGCAAGAGCAGGTGGAAGGCTATAGGCTTGGGAATCAGACGCGTGTAAAGTCAAGATTGGAAGAGTGTAGAGCGGAAAAGAACAAAGCTGAACCTCTCGCTCCCCAGGTGAGGGAGAGCCGTGCCACTCACGCAGTAAGTGGGGTGGGTCTCCCCGGATACAGGGCAGAAAGGGTGAAGTGCCACAAATAAGGTGGAATGCTGAGCTCAGGTGTCTGGCTCAGGAGGTGGAGTGTAAATTCTCCACTTTTGGCCATGGAAGTGGTTTATGTCACAAAAGCAAGAGCTGAGTTCTTAAAGAGGTCCAGGGTCGCTTAAGGCTTCAGAAGACTCAGGGTCACACAGTGGATAGATTTGTGTCCAAGTACTCCAGGCTTCATAAAACTTTTCTTTAACTCCTGTGTTCCAACGTGGGTGAACCGTGGGCACTTAAGTCCCTCGGCCTCAGTTTCCTCTTTAGTCAAATAAGCTTGATCGTCCTCCCCCGGAGAGCTGTTGGGATCATTAGGCGCACCGGGCATACTTGCAAGGGCCTGACACCTGGTAGATACTCAACAGATTAAAAACCACCATCACTGTCTCTGGGTTCGAATCCCAGCTCCACCATCCTGGCTAACATGCACCTAAACCGTGTGACTTTGGCCAAGTTACTGACCATCTCTGTGTCTCAGTCTCCTCATCTGTGAAATGGAGATATCAGTAGCAAATCTCACAGAGTTGCTATGGAATTTAAATGAATTAATAATGTAACAAGCTCTATATAGTGTCTGGCACACAGTACATGCCCAAGAGGTGTTCACTATTATTTTCACACAACCATTGTTTCTTTTAAGGCAGTCCACAATTATTTTTTGAGTGCATACTCTACACCCGCGACTTGCTCTAACATTTCATGAATAGAGACACCAAGGATGAAAGTCATGAGCTCTGAGTTGGCAAAAACTTACAGATTTTGCTGTGATTCAGCCACAGTGTGGGTGGTTCTGTATTTGCTGACAACGCTAAGCCTTGGCGATTCCCTCCCCTTCTAAACAGAAGTCCCCAGTGATTCCCAGGGAAGTAAACGCTGCTCTGGATGAGGTGCACGGAAGCCCCAGTGGCTTCACCAGGCTGCCAGCTCCTCTGCAGTCTCTTTCTGGGGCCCACATTAACACCGCATGCGGGGTACTCTGGCCCCCTCTTTGCAAATGCAGAAACCGAACAATTTAGGAAGGTCGAAGACTGACGCAAAGTCATTGAGGTGAGGCTGGCATTTGAACTTGTGTTGCCCAGGGTTAAGGTTGGCAACTGTCTCCACTGTCCTCACCCCAACACACGCACACACCCCCCAACTGCCTGAGAAGTGGCAGGTTGCTTAAGTGACCCCTTTTATGTGCCTGGATCGAGGGGCATCCTCACAGCTTACAGAGCAATGGCACCCACATCCTTCCCTAGCGACCACCAGGGACAAGAGCAGCACAGCAGGGCATGATGGAGCCAAATGGTTGTCTAGACTTTCTAAAAGGTTCTAGTAGCTGTTCAGACTAGAAGTTCGTTGTAAAGGGTGAGTAGCATGAAGTAGCTTTATTCATAATCTGGAATTGGCTAGGAAACTAGGAAGTATAGGAATCACACCCACCTATTTGCCCCTACTCTTGAACTTGGGCGGGTGTCTGGGGGTACATGACCCCACTCTGCTGGGCAACGGTCAGTTTGCCAGTCTCCAGCATACGGTGGGAGGGCCCAGAGTGCAGGGACCCTATACAAATTGTTGTGTCTTTGTCACCTAATGTGAGGCCTGGCCCAGAGGGGCACTTGGAAACTCTTTATGGAGCTGAGATGGTACAGTGAGGAGGACATTGTTTTAGTAGATGGAAGCGATGCTTTCCCAACCAAACTCTTCAATATTTGACACAAAGAGGGTCTCCCAGTCCCTGCCCTGAGTGTTTCATGTCCATCTGCAGCTCAGTCCTCACGATAGCTCCTGAGAAAAACACCACTGCTACTATTAATATCACAATTTCACAGATGAGGAGCTAAGGCCAAGAGAGGCCAAGTAACTTGCCCAAATGCACACAGCTAAGGAGTGATAGAGGTCAGATATAATCCAATGGTCTCTAAATTCAGAATCCTAAGTCCTAACCATTATGCAGTTCTGCTCCGTCCCCACCTCCCACCAACTCCTATCTCTCCCTGTCTCTCCAGCCCAAACCTCTCGGTGCTGCCAGATTGCCAGTGTTGGTGTGGCATAGCCTGGCCTCATCTTTCCTCTCCTCTAGAACTCTCAGTGGCTCCCTATTGTCTAAAATAGTGAAAATATAAACCAAAAATGTTAAGT